TTCTTTCATTCCAACAAAATTTTCTTTACTTTGGGATATTTGTCTATTATGAAGAAGGAAAAATGACATTCGTATTAAGGTATATGATGAAGTGAAACAAAAATCTAGTTTATAATAGTATCTCTCAAAATCATAATCCAAAGTTTAAAATTCTTAGACTATAATTTTAAAATGAATTTAGATTACATTTGTAGTATATTGTTGGCAAAGTATAATAATGAAAATATGCATAAATGAATACATCTTGGTTTTGCCATATATTAACTGTGCAACATGGACAGTTTACTTCTCTTCAGTTTTCTCAAAATGAGGACAATAAATTGTACTCACCTGAAAAGATTGTTAGGAGGATTAAATTACTTTTAGTACTTAAAACAGTTGGAGAAGTATTTGGCAATAGTGCTAAGTAAGTATTTGCTATTATTATTGCTGTTATTAGATATAAATGGGTACTGTATTCTGTCTTCAGGAACTAATGACCAAGTTAATAACCGAGACACCTGACCAACCAATCCCATTCCTCATTGACCATCTTCAGTCTAAGCAAGGAAGCCGTGGACAGCTTCAAAGAACTTTGTCTGGATCTGCAGCTCTCTGGGCAGAGAGTGAAACATCAGGTAAATAGAAATATATTTTGCAGTTAATTTTAGATCCATTTCTAATGTAAAAATTTCAAAAGTCTTTTTGATTATAATAAGATAAATCTAGATGGATAGTTACCTAGTGTGACTTTACCCAGATGTTAGAATTTGTTATGAAGTATTCTCACAATTGAATACATTGTAATATATTATGCTTCCAAATATAAGAATCGGTGCATTCTATTTTAATATAAATAAGATTTACATTTGCATAGAAATACACATATCCTCTAGGAATTCAAACTAATTATTCTAAACTTTGTTCTTTTCTTTTTATGAGGAAATTTGAATTAAATGTTTGTTCATCTGTGTAGAAAGATAATCAGTTGATTTTTACGAAGTTACTTTTCTTGTTGCCCAAACTAATAATTATTCTCTATTTCTCCCGGCTCTAATTTTATCTTGTGTAGTTAAGTTCAACCTTAGGAAGATTCATTCACTCATTACACTGGGGACTCTTTACCTTTACAGCCTTCCAAGTCGTTAACAGCCTCAGCTCTCCATTAAACACTGGTGAAATAATTGGGTAGACTTTTATTCTGTCTCCCTGTATAGAACATATATCCAACTTTTTTCTTCTGCACACTGTGTCTCTGGTTTTGGCTTTACTTTCAAAACCAAATTCCCTCATGTTTGCTTGGGTAACAAACTCCTTGCCTGACTCCCATGAGAATCTGATTGACTGGACTCTAAATGCTTTCCTGGGGTGGCACCACCACTTCTCTCCTCTTCATGTCCTGTGGGATTCCATGAAAAATTTTGGTCACCTTTGGCTCTATTCTTCTGTGAGTGCCTTCTTGAGACCATGTGGCAAGGCCGTGATAAAGTAGGTAAAGGATAAGATATCCCCTGGGAAAGATAGAGACATCCGATGTCAGTTATCCATGCAGAAGTTATTTGCATCATTTGGGAAACTAGAATATGAACTTTTGGCATATAAAAGAGGGAACTCATTTTTTCTTGGCCTGAATTTCTTGTGTTCAGATTCTAAGTAGGGAGGGTATATAGGCATGTGCTTTGGTTTGTATGGCTAAGATGGCACCCACCATGGGAAGGGAGATCAGATGAGCCCACTGAAGCTCATGTGAGCCCATATTTTATAAATCACAGTATTTGGAGAGACTAGTGTTAATATATTAAACTCTACACTTTTAACTAGTGCACACTTAGAGTCTCAGTGTTCTTGTGGGGTTGCGTTCTCATCTGAAGGCTGGACTAGAAATCTGTTTCCAAGCTCATTTGAGTTGTTGGAAGACTTAATTTCTTTTAGCTATATGATTTGAAGTCTTTATTTTCTTACTGGTTTTTAGCCAAGGGCTACGCTCAGCTCCTAGATGCAATCCAGAGTTCTTTGTGCGTCTCTCTCACATCATGGCAACTTACTTCTTTAAGGGCAATAGGAGCATTTGTCTTATCCGGGTCTGCTAATATGTTCTTGTTTAATAGAATGTAATTATTACATTGAAATTTCTTTATCTTTG